AAATAAAAGTGAGATAATTATACGATTGGATAAAAATAATAATAATCAGGTGATGAATGATAAAAATTAAGAAAAAGGGAATTTCGCATAATTAAAGAAAGATTATTGAATTAGAGAAATTTATGTTACTATGGTAACAATACGTTGTAATTGAAAATAAAAATCTCTCTTAACAAAAATCTTCCTCTAAATACTTCTTGCCTCTCATATTTTCTTTATACACTTCAAATCTTGTGTATAAGTGACCTTATATCATATTGAACCTATCAAATTGCTGATGGCTTTATATCGTATTGCACCAAGCAAATCACTGTTATTAACTTTGGGCTTTATATTGTATTGTGTCAAACAAATTGCTTTATTGAATTATTGAGCTTTATATTATATTGTACTGAACAAATCGCTATATTAAAAATTATTAAAATTGAATTTATAAGTATTTTACTTTTAGTTATTTGAATTTTTAATTGTTAATGAATATTCCTCACTTGTGAGAAGAACAAAGTGAAAGAGTCTTTGTTACTATTATTACTAATCATATTATATTTATTTCTAAGAAGCTTTATACTGGATAATAAATTTGAGTATGAAAATGATGCTCAAAGGTTACTGCACATAATTTTGTGCTGAAGGATCAGGTATGCAACTAGTATTAATGTTTCTTACTTGTGCATTTAATCTAGCTTAAGTAGCTTATAAAATAACACTTTGTGGTTGCAAGCAATTCATGAGAATAACAAGTTTGTTCTAAAGTTCTTTTTCCTCTCTCTTTAAGCTTATACTGTTTGTTTTAAACTTTTTCATCAAAAGATTTTATGCAGTTAATCCCAGTGCCAGCAAAAATACCTGCGCAGTTGTAAGTTAACGTTAATAAAGACGCATGAAGACAGAACAAGCTTACATTCAAACGTGTTAATAATTTTACGTGGCAAAAATAGATATTGCTTCAAAAGATGCAGGTACCTTATAAACATGCATTATGCACTATCGATGGCATAAGCTAAAAAATCCTATTTTAGAACAGTAAGAGTTGTGAAAAACAAGTGCCTGTATAATGATTGTACCATCTATAATTACTACAAAACGAAGGGTATGTTTTTTAAAGTTTGGACTATCAATTAACAATCAAGCGTCAATTATTATTGTGTTAATTTGTCCTCTTTTTTTGCCTCTAAAGGTTATCTTTGCAGCAACAGCTTGGGATGCGATTCCTACGAACTCTATCTTAATGACGATGAACTTAAGAGGTGTTATTGCAGATCTAGGAATTAATATCCACTTTCGTCTATTTGTTACAGGACCTTTCAGTGATGATAACGAAACTAATGACATCTACTTGTTCCTCATAGTGGTCATTAATATTTAACGAGGGTGAAAAACAGTTGGTAGAAATACTCAAGCAGCAAATCGTTTATGATATTGCTGTGGAGTTATCAACTATATGTGATGGGATTGGTAACAATTCTTATCTTGAAGACGTGCAGGTACCTCCTCTGTTCTTACAAGTTTTAAATCATTAGCAAAAATTATGTGACATTCGATATAGCTAACATAAATAACAAAATCTAGCAATGGATTTATTTAGGTTCTGGAGATGATGGAAAACTTGCGACGCTTGGTCTGGAAGGTGGAATCATTGAGCGGAACAACTAGCCTCCCATCGGTAAAGACTGAAGAAAATCTAATGGCAACAATTTCTGAACGCTTCTTCACTTGTTAAACCGGATCAAGTGAAGTTCGATCAGAACAATTATTGTGGTGATGTAGTAAGAGAAATTCCTCTAATTTTCAGTGAGCTGGCCATATATTGTTGGTATTTTTAGCGAAAACAGTAATTACGTACTCTGTTATTCAACAAATATTAATATTGATAATAACCAAGAAACTATTATCAATATAGAGTTTGATAACTTTGATAGTGTTAAAAATAATTGATATTGATCCAAATTTGAATGATATTTATGAAACGAAAGAAAATACATGTAATGAAACGGATACAGAATCTCAATCTGATGACAATACTTCAATTGTCTTTATCACCTCTACGAATTCAACTGATCAAAGTATAATTTCAACTAATCAAAATCAATCAAAGGCTAGTATTACCGAAGTATAACAAAATTCATTGATCTTGTAATTTCCGAAGGAGCCCGTTCGTCCCGATCTCAATAAATTATTT